TTGGGTACAGCTCAGCGAGTAAGACTAGTGGTTATGGGTTGGATTTCAGCATTTTCCACTGATATAGGTTGAAGACACGGTGTGTTCAAGGTTAGGGTAACACTGCTTATGTAAAGGCGATTGGGTGCTTTGGTAGCTCAGCGAGTAAGAATCTGTAGCCTTGTTGTCATGAGCTCGATTTCGGTATTTTCAACTGATGTAGGGGTGTTCAGGGTAATAGTAACACTGCTTATGTAAAGGCAATTGGGCGCTGGAGTAGCTCAGATCTCTCGTCAGTTGAAAATGAGCAAGCTAATGCCGCTGTCCTGGCAAAATTTCCCTCATTGTACCCTGAATGGCGTTGCTAGTCTTCATTAGCCCGCATGGTGCAGAAAAGTAGGACGTAAGGCTCCATTCATTTCATTTTCATTTTCATTTAAAAACTCATTCAGGTTGCGTTAATAAATTTGAAATGACTTATTATCTTTCAGAATCACATTATTTGAAAAATCTTCTCTTCAGAATAACAAATTGTTTTTCAGCTTCTCAGACGCGATTAACGACCCGAGAAAGCCCCGGGTGTCTTTTATTCCACTATAAATGTATAAATGATATTGGACTAAGATGACAGGTATTTCCTCTCGGTTTCAAGGTATGTTTCTGCTAAATTTATGGTTGTTAAGTTCCTCAGGCTGTTCCTCCTTGCAATTCATTTCCGCATTCCACACTGCATGGGGTCTAACGCTACAGTGATGCAGGTCGGGGAGGCTGACATAAAAAAAAGCGTCAAGAAATTCAGATTGGACAATAAACCCGAGAGCCCATATGCTACAGGCTGTACACTTTATTTAAGATAGTACATGTAGTCTAATGCTGTTGACCATTATTTTCCACATTGCACACTGTACGGAGCTTACAATCGTTTACAATTTAGGGTAGATGCTATGTTGGGTTCTCTGGGTACAAATTGATAAAGAGGTCTGATCCAGCTGTCGTGTCATTTCAATCATTGCCTTTCCTGCAATTTCCCGCTTTTTTATTCCCGCTCTTTTTAAAGGATGTGCTGCCGTCCACGTCAACATTTAGGAGACGTCGAACCTTGGCTTTCCGAAATCGCAAGCAATCTTCGGCTTTCAATGATCTTTCAATTTCATTTTATAATTTGAATATCTGATGCACTTCAGTAATATTAAATCGTCTAGGCTCCTTCCTTTAATGGTATATCTGTACGCGGGAAAAAAATCAATAAGGCGGTAAATGGGGCAATAAATCTTGATCAAAAAACAAAGTTATAATCTAAATGAGAAGGCATTATCAGCGTTTGATTGATATATTTTCTACGGGGCATTATACAATGAATGAATCGAGGAACAAAACATATCATTACGTAATAATAACAGAAAAAAAGGCTTGAAATCGCTGGTAAATAATACCATTATTCATCGTCTAATCTCCTTAATTCATAATCAGTTGGGGAAATCAGACATATAGCTGTCGAAATACCATTCAATTTGGTATAATTGGCCCACTAACGTACGTACAATGAGGGGCTGGGGTCGGCAAATAGACGTAGGTGCAAAAGTGGGTCGCTCTGGATTAGGCACAGGTGTACGCAATTTAGGCCTAATGGAATACCTCTTTGGCCAAAAATGCAAACATGCATAGGTTCATTAATGAACCGCCATGCCTTAATATAAATCCGAAAAGAGGCGATTATATTGATGACCCATGGCTCAGGGTAATGAAGTAACAGGAGTACCTACAATAATGAACAATCGTGACCAAAGTTGAAATTGGCATAACCTTTTGTACAAAGCTTTGCCAATAATGAGTTCAATCAGACATTACGACAATGATATTCTACCCAGTTTCACAATTTAGTCCTTCTTCGTACAATTCTGTATGTATAATAATCGATACAATAATGAACATTGGCCAAGGAAAGAACCGAAAACAGTCGTATGTAAAAAAACATAAACCATCTGTAATCGACGCAATCCGTAAACAGAATGGAAGTTCAATTTGTCCGCACAAAAATCGGTCAACCTCGTCTTTGCATCGAGAATCACACACTGTATCGAAAACAGTCGTATGCAAAAAAAAAATAAATAAACCATCTGTATTCGGCACAATCTGTAAACAGAATGGAAGTTCAATTTGTCCGCACAAAATTTGGCCAACCTCGTCATTGCATCGATTATCACGCACCGTATCGAAAACAGTCGTATGCAAAAAAAAAAAATAATAAATAAGCCATCTGTATTCGGCACAATCTGTAAACAGAATGGAAGTTCTATTTGTCCGCACAAAAATTCGCCAACCTCGTCATAGCATCGATTATCACGCATCGTATCTGTACGTCGTCTTTTTGCAGTTTTTAAACAGGGAAACCATTTTATACATTACAACCCGAATCTGGCATATTTGCTAACAGACATTAAGTGGAATAATTCTTACGATCATTCACTATATGAGTAGGTGTCTTAAAACAACACACGTTAATAACAGAATATTTGTTCAGTTCTCAGTGTTTAAAAAAATGACTCGCTACTTGCGAATTACCATGATATTTGCTTAGACAACAAACATGAAATATTATCATAATGAAGATGTCATAAGATTAGCCATAGTGATGTACGCCTACAGAATGAGGGCATTCAGTTACTGGTGAGTGACTATACAGAGCCATGTTCAGCCCATTGGCCAACATTGCAGGAACCACAGACATCTGATTAAAACTTAGAATAGTGTAAATTGATGCTATCAGTGATATCAATACACATAAAAAAATTGGAACACATCTTTACAATCCTTTTAATGAAAAAACAAAACGAACGCGGGACTGGAAGACTCTCCGAAAAGGAGATCAAAACGCACGTAGGTGAACTCAAAACTTAATGAAATCAGTGACTTTTTCTAAAATTTGTAATGTAGCATGACATAAGTATGATTTGCTTACGGATTTATTGAAAGTCAAGCAATTAATATACTGTACGCTGTGAAATTAAGTAGAATTCCTTTCAAAATCAATAGCGAAATGGGAAAATTATGATCGCCAATGGTCGTAAACTAATTTGATAACCGTTCCAGCAGACTTCTAGACTGTAAAGAACTCGAAAAATCACTTTGCTACGAGACATAAACTAGATCTTTTTAATACTTAAAAATCAATCTTGGACCCGTTCGTAATTTATATAATTTCAGTAAAATATCTATCGCGACGTATAATTCCTCTTTATTTAAAGTTTTGTTTTTGGTCCGTTCGTAATGTATAAATTGTATATAAGACGTCTATAAGACTATACATTTTCAATTCATTAAAATGTGTTTGTTTTTTGGTTTTGTCTTTGACCTTTCGAAACATAACGTCTAATTTCATTTAATGTTTTTGTTTTTTTGGTTTTGTGTTAGACCTTTGGAAAAATAACCTCTCATTTCATTTCAATGTTTTTGTTTTGTTTTGTGTTGGGTCTTTCGAAACATAACGTCTAATTTCATTTCAATGTTTTTATTTTGGTTTTGTGTTAGACCTTTGGAAAAATAACCTCTCATTTCATTTCAATGTTTTTGTTTTGTTTTGTGTTGGGTCTTTCGAAACATAACGTCTAATTTCATTTCAATGTTTTTATTTTGGTTTTGTGTTGGACCTTTCGAAAAATAACGACTCATTTCATATAATGTTTTTGTTTTGTTTTGTGTTGGACCCTTCGAAATATAACGTTTCATTTCATTTCAATGTTTTTGTTTTTTGGTTTTGTGTTGGACCTTTCGAAACATAACAGTGGCGGCGCAATCCCTTATAGACTGGGTATACAGACAGAAGGCAGACTGACACAATGCTGAGGCTGAATTCAAAACGTAGCAACTCTGCGGATACGTCTTGTCGCAAACCTCTCATAGCGAGTCTGAAATGGTTTTCTCATTAAATTTTCGAAAAATTGAATTGATCTGGTGCATTCTGGCGAAAAAACATATGAAAATAATAGTGGGGGTACAATTGAGGGTGCAAACCTTTCTATATATGGTTGCGTCACTACTAAATACATTGCATTTGATTATAAAAGTTTTTGTAGATCAACGTAGTTCCAAGTAAATTAAGAGATATATTCCTGGTTTTACTTGATTTAGAATTGATCTTCGATCCACTTAAAAATACTCTTACATTGAAGTGGATTGGAAACGAATTGATTTTCTTTTTAAAACGACACTTAAAGATCTTGTTTGAAAAGAATGGACTTCCTTATTCGTTTACCCTAATTCTTATCACCCTGTCATTATTTGGGTGAGATTGAAATGTGAAGACATGAAGTATGCAATGGGGTTAAATATTTATATTTATTTATAGTGTAGGCTCTTGTGTGAAAAGAATGACTTTCTTGTCGTTTACCTTAATTCTTATCGCCTTGTCATTAAATAGGTAAAATAGATTGACATGGTTCACTTTTACTCTCAATGAAGAATTCCAACGCCACGCAGTGGGCAATGACGAGATTTTTGTCAGACAACAGATAAAATCTGCAAATTTGGGTATTTACAACCTACTTCTGATTGCCTTGCAAATCTTTCAGTCCGACGTCTGTGGTTCCTGCAATTCTACTAAAACTTAGGGCCGTATGCTGCGCTCGAACTTAACGCTAAGTCAGACTTTGAAAAGTTTCGCCTGAGCTCGACTTTGTAACTATTTCATTTCGGTATGCACGGCTTCAACTAAAACTTATCTTTGCTAAGTTTAACTTCTTCTGTGTATGTACGGAAAACCAACGATAACTCAAAGAATTATAATCTAATTTCTAATATATTTGTTAATAGAAGAAGTGATTGATACATATTTTAACTAAAATTTTGATCGGACACTTACGGACAGCAAGAATTTGGCAAGTTTCTCATGTGCTTTTCCGCGGGGTTTGCCATAAATACGCATCAGGGTCATTACAAATTATAATTTGATTGATTATTCAAGATTTCAGATAATTTGTCGTTGCCTCAGAAAAACCAAGAGGAATACATCTCAACTTACTGTAATTGAACAGAAATTCCTTATCGATGTAGTGGATGAGTTTAAGGGTGTATTGGAGTCGAAACAAAATGATATTCGGCCCATACAAAGGAAGGAAAAGGCGTGGAAAGAAATAGAGGCGAATTTTTGTTCCATGCCCACTTTCTTTAAACGAGATCACAAGCAGTTAAAGAAATGCTGGAATAATTTAAAAATGAAGGCAAAAAAGTCTGAAGCGATGAAAAAAAGAGAGAAAGAAAACTGGTGGTGGTATACTGGAGACAATGGATTCTAGTAACTCAAATCAGAAGATGTGTGCTATGATACCGGCACAAATGCACCCTCTGCAGAATGACTTTGATAACGATATGGATTTCCATCAAGTTAGCTTCACTTTGGCTCAACCGACGTCAGGTTAGTTAAAGGGATACAGTCCTCTGATTATACATAATTTGAACTTCTTAAATCCGCAAATCCATTTTCAATAAAAAGTAGATATTAATATGTCACTTCGATTTTGACAAGTGCTATGGAAATTTCGAAAGAAGATAAATTACGAGACTGATTCCACGTTTCGAAATGAGTTGCATATGAATGATTCGAACTGTTACGTAGCACCTTACTTTAAACAACCCCTTTTGCATTGGTACTGAATTTTTCATAAATATATGATTATATTTTACGTAGCTAATTTAATTTTCATTTCTATATTCAACACAGGTTCTCCCGTATTTACGCGATCCACATCAGCTTTAGCCACTGTTACCAGTGGAACATCGTGTCCAGATACAAATACAGTTCCAACACAGAAATCATCACGTGTTCCATGTGTATAGCCAACTGTTCCAATTATCCCTGAAAACTGCGTAATGTAAAAACCTCGTATTTTTTTTTATTTCATTTTCATCTGGAAACGTAATTACCTCAGGTCTATGAATAGCTATAGCCCTTGATACCAATTTCACTATTCGGGAGACACTGGATTGATGAACGCCCATTATGTCCCTCACGTTTATTTGGAAAAAGCCACTAGCATACCAACGAAGACATACCAATAACTGTAGTAATGGTGGGATATGTACAGTTTGGTCACATCGATGATTGAAATCATTTCAAAAATATTCAGAACGCCATCCTTTGAAAATCTGAAGCGTTTCGTAAATTCACACTCGTCTAGATCTTCCATTGGATTTGAGCGGTCTTTAAATCTCCTCTCCTCATGGTAAATATCTATAATTTGGTGTAATTTGTTGAAATAATCTTCCATTGTCTCAATTTCAATCGCAAACGTATATAAAGTACGTCTAAAGTCTGCTACCACCCTATCTTAGACTTTACTTTAGTTTTGTCCAAAAAACGCTCGGGTAAAGCATGACTTACATCAAAGATCGAGCGCAGCATACCTAAAGTCTGACTTAAGCTCGACTTTGACTAAAGTACGGCTAAAGTTCGACCGCAGCATACGGCCCTAAGTGTTTTATCAAACACTTAGTTTAAATGGAATTTAAGGAACCACAGACGTATGATTTAAAATTGGAATGGCGCAAATTGATGCTATTAATGTCCCTGATACACATAAAACATTTAGAAAATCCCTCACAATCTCATTAAAAGGAAAAGCATACTTTAAAAATATTCATTCATTCACTCGTCGTTGTGAAAACCTTAGTAGAATCTAAAAACCACATTTATTATAGTGCATTATTAAATGTAACATAATTTTTAAAGATAAGATCAAGGCATTTATCATAAAATGGTCACAAAATATCTCATGGGTTCGACAAATTATTTAAAATGTTCAGGGTTTATCAAAAGAAATCATATTAAAGAAAATTGGAAAGCTATTGCAGTCTAACTTTTAATGTAGTTCTGGCTGAATTACGCCCTTTTGTTCAATATTTTTTTTTTTTTAGATTTGTCTTAGACTCCATTACGGAAATTCTATTTATATCCAAATTTTGATAAGAAAAATTTTTTTTTTCATGTAATCGGTATATTGTGTCAGACTTATTTTAACTTCCTGGTGTTACCTTTCTAATAGTTACATCATACTAGTAGAATTTCAAAATCTGAATCACATGATCTTAGTCGCTAAAATAAGGCAGCAAACCAAGATCTCATCTGCGTGCATTCTTAAATTACTGATGTCCTTGAACACATTCCTTCATTGCACACGACATGGCGTTGCCCGCCTTCATTAGCCTAATAAAGTGCAGAAGATAGGACGTAAAACTCCATTCATTTTATTTCTAAAGATCACTTGACAGTTGAAAATCGAAATCGAGTAGGCCAATGTCGGTGGCCAGGAAATAAATCTATGGCGTATTCTGCTTTTTCAAGTCCATCTAGATCACAAACAGAGCATATAATTTGGTGTAAAACTCCATTTCACCTCCTCTAAGTTAGAGGGAATGTAAGGGATTTTCTAAATCTTTTATATACTTTTCTGGAACACTTATAGCATCAATTTGAACCATTCCAATTTTATGTCAGACATCTGAGGTTCTTGCAATTCTAAAAAACTAAATGTTCGATTTTGCGATTAGCGAAGTCATCAAACACTGAATTCTATTGGAATTGCAGGAACAACAGACGTCTGATTGAAAATTGGAATGTTGTAAATTGATGTCAATGTCCCCGATACACCTCTGTTCAATCCCTTAAATTGTTCGTAGGCATGATATCGTCAATACCATTAAGAAATTCATATTGCATCCTGCACGGAACGTGTGTTCATTAACACTATGAACCCTACGATAAGTATTGAATCTGAAATTTTTAGATGAGGGTGTCCAGTAGGAGTCACAGATTTATCAAGGGAAGCTCAAAACGGTAAAACAAGGGGGCGGGGGGGGGGGCAACCCCGGACCAGCCCTTTTTATTGGGGAGGGGAGTGACCCCCGTAAGAACATACCCCTGTAAAACGCCACTGACGTAAGCCAACTCTTCTTTGATTTCCCAACTGTTATAAGATCTTGTACGTGCACAGCCTGTAGCACACGTGACCTCAGTTTATTGTCAAATTCAAACTACTGTTCACTACTCCCCTGTCACCAACCCCCACCCGAAACTTGCATCACTGACAAGAGGAAACCAGGTTAAAAATAGATGATTGTGGGCGGACATTTGACTTTTACCTCCTGATTTGTCCGATCAATTGTATTTATCTTTAAAGTTAAGAGTATTGTTCATTAGATTATCGGCGACTGGGAGAAAACAGAACGTATTGATGAAATTCCGGAGAAGAACAAAAAGATTATAGATTTGTAACCCCAATCTAAAGAAAGTGTAAGCCGAAACATGTCGTGAATAAAGGTTGTAGGATATTGCTTAAATCGTGTGCACCGTTTGACCAACTTTGTTCACTGCTATCGAATCACCTTCAATGATAATTTGATATTTTTGCCAATAAAATTCTGACTTAATGCGTCTTGTTTCGTCTCTTTTAATCAATATCATTGCTTCAATTCCGTATTAGAAGTCATTCACCGTATTGGATTCTTTATGTTAAACAAATAGTACACGATACTTCATTTTCATAGGAAATAAACTACCAGTAAAATTCTCATTTAATTTCAATCATCTTCTCTAACTTATTTCTTCTTCCTTTGATCTCTCCACATTAAAATTTTTACAGAATGTCGTCAATATTCGCTCGGAAAATCTGAAAGAATTCTCACGAGCTAATCTGGATGTCGCGTGTTCACCAGGGGCTCTTACAGCTTTCGGAGGGGTCTTATGGCACAGTCGGTTAGAGCATTGAAACTTTACATGATGTCATTTGCTTAAGTTACGTCGATCAAATGGTAGTCGTGAGTTCTAATCTTGGTCGACGTGTGAAATTCTTGTAACCTTAATTAAGTCATGTCGGTTACGGATAATTCGGGAAAGATCAATGCCAAAAGGTTCTTTGCTGATGGTTTTACATCCGATGCCTGTCGTGCACGTATTTCTGTGATCGCCCACATCGTAAAAGCCATTTGACTAAAATAGACTTGGAAGTTGTCATCTGGTAAAGTATTTCTGGAATGAATTTCCATGAGCTTTTCTTGTATCGTGAAGACATACCTTTTTGCATTATGACACCCGATGTCGATGGTCCCTGATAGTAATCTGTAATCCTGCGTTGTTGGAATTACAGTTATAAAGTTATAAATTAATATATATAGAAATTGAAGATAAAATGTTAATTTCTATTCCATTACCCCATATCGCGATATGTATTGTATCGTGACCCTTGTATCGCGATACGTAGTGTATCGTTGCATGATTGGCGATACCCAGCATTATCAGAAATAGTGGAATAATCTGGAATTACAGGAACCATAGAAGTGGTACACTCAATCAGATTGCAATTCGCAATTGTGCACTACATTTACACAAGATCATTAGTTGCCAAAAGTATGGCGTTACATTCCATCGCAGTTAGTAAAGCATTCGCATTCGTCTAACTGCACTTACTATAAACATTACACTTTTAAATGAGGTCAGATGCTTCGATTCTATTTTAACCATTGACGTTCATGTTTCGTGTACTTATAAACACAAATTAATCCTGATTTTGATTTTTTATTCAGAGGACAAAAAAACAGTTTAATGCGTTCCGGAAAATTTCCAAAATAAGGAATGGAACATTCTGTCACCAATTTAACTCCTGTCAATCCTATTGCGTGTGTCGCCAAACCCGATTTGATGTCTTGTCATTGAATGAGCTTCACTTGTTATTAGTGTCAAATATTGCAATTCGTTTCGGTTTTATTCATTGGCAAATTGGAGGAATTTTAATGCACCGTTCAAGCAGCACATTATCTAATTGTGATGAAGACAAAATTTAATGATGTTGTCAATATTTTGTCATCTTAAGCTCTTGATGGTGTTACTGGTTTATTCGAAATGAAATAAAATAGATTCTTATGACTTACATTTCTGCACTTGAAGAACGAATGACTACTGTTTGTTTTTTCCAGGACATGCATGTAGCCAGATTTTGGAGGGGCAAGTTATATATCTTGGGGGGCAATGATGTATGGTGTTAAGTTGCAGTGATGGAATTTGTCTCTTTTTTCAGAGTTTCGAGAAAGTCGACTTTATATTTTATGTTTGGAAAAGTCAAAGACTAAGGTCCCCCCCCCCCCCCCTTGAAGGCCTCCTGTAGCTACGGATCTGGATCCAACTTCCAACGGTTCTTTAATTCGGACATCTGTAGCACACAGGGTTTCGGTCATTGCCCCAACCAAAGGCTTTTCAACGTCAACCCCGAGCAACCCCAACGGAAGAGGGTGGATTTGCAGCTGGTCTGACTGCACCCTACATTCAAATTCCTTATCATTTAACCTAGGGCATTAATCCCATTCTCCGCCACCCCTTCCCCCATATTCTCCCTCAACCGCCAATGATTAACAGAAACGCCACTGCCAGATCTAAAACGGAAGAAGAAATATGTGATATCTGTATTACCATAACCTCTCCATAGTAGTTATATCTAAAATACAAGCCCGAGTTAGGATTACTATCATTTGTTGAATTAACAAAGACCAAATCAAGTTTGGTTCGAATTAATGGTAACGTCATCTTGTTGCAGCGTGACTCTTGATCTTTCCATTGTCACGATCTAATGGTATTAGAAAAATTAACTCAGATATATTTCTGTTTCATTTGATTACTTTGTGAGAAATGTAAATAAAACTTACTTATAACGTTGTCTTTTCAATGTTATCAAATAATCTTATCTTTGATGTATGGAACTTTTTTTCGTGCTCTTGGTTGTTATTTGATTATGTTCTGTAGATACTTTATAAAGCTGAAACGTGCTCCTCTGTCGACGTGCTTTTAAACTGTGGATGTGTGTACAAGCTTCAGATAACAAGAAGATTATCATGTCTCCTTTAATTCCAAGTATACCTGTCTAGGAGAGTGCTCTTGGCTGGTATGCATGGTTGGCGGATGCTGATATCGCAGACCAGGTAGTTTTTGGTAGCCGAAGTAGTTGGTAGTTGGATTGGTTTAAATTGGATGATTCTGTGTTGTTGGTCTGGTCGCTGATAATTCTTTAGATCTGGTCAGGTCGAATGACATGGCGGTTAAACTCGGCCCTGGATGGTGTGGCGTGAGTTACTCGATCTCCTTCATTCTTCCAAACTCGTTCTGAACATGGTAATTCTTGTTGATTGGTAGTCGAATGGCATAATATTTGTTATGTTTTATATATATCTGGTACATGCTCATATGTCGGGGTGCTCTTAAAGTGGATGTGTGTACAAGCTTCAAAATAACAGGACCTTTAGTTCACAGATATATCAGTCTAGGATTGTGCTCTCGGTTGCTATTGGGCTGAAAGATACTTGCGAAGCTCTTGTGAAGATGTTTTCTAAAAAAAAATTATGTGTATCTGTATCACTGATAGCATTGGTATAAATCATTCAATTTTCAGTCAAACGTCTTTTGTTCTTGCAATTCCACTAACATTAAGCGTTTTATAATTTTCAAAACCTGCCGTCAAGTGCCTTAACGACGTGATATAGGCATAAAACGCTTGCACTAATTCAACATGCCGATTTTACAATGCCCTTCGTCAGCAAAAAGCATCGTTCCTTTTCGCACTTAAAATATCTAATTGCACAGGTTTTTCGCCCTTGTTTTCAGAAATTTCCATTGTTAATTTTGTTCATCGTTGCTTCGCACTGCATATTTTGATGATATACAACGAAATTATCTATTTCTATTATTACGTTGACTAGACTATGGTCTTTTGAAGTGTGTTGCAGCCTTTCATTAAAAATCTACCTATATCGATATTTAGAATAATTGGGGTCTTCTAAGAACCAAGACCGTATTTCCTAGTTTTATCAAACTATTTTTATTTAAACACGTCCATACTCATCGAAGTATTTTTTGTATTATATTGTATGTGGTACTCAAAAAAATTCAGGTCCTTTTTTTCTTTGTTCTTTATTATGACTTAGCAAAATTTCCCTTGTTGCACACTGCTCTGCATTAACCCATTTTGCGCAAAATCAACAATACAGAATTGGTGATTCAAGGGAAGCAATCCTAATTCCTGGCAGATCATTAAAAACTTTGACCACAAACAATATTGGAAAATCCATTCTGTACGAAGATTTAATCGGCTTTGTTAACAAACTTTTGTAGTCCCAAACGACCAGCCATTGATGTTTGAACTATCAGAATCACGCGGCATTGTAACAATCTGTATGATGTTTGAACTATCAGAATCAGGAAATAGTACTGGTAAACAGGAACTTTCATTAAATGACCCTGTACGTTACCGAGCGCTATAAGAACAATAAGAATTATCTCCCTTACATCACATCTTTATTAAAACTATTTAGAAAGAAGAAAAGACCATGTATTTTTTTTGCTATCTTGACCTACTGCAAGAATATAATCTTAGGCTAAGAATGAACCTAATATAACTCTCTAAAACACTTAACAAAGTTTGAAATAATGTATCTAAATACACTGTGTATTTAGAAAAATAAAAAAAACATCGTCTTTTTGGAAACATAACCATTGAAATTTTAAAATGTTCGGTTGGTATTTGGCTGTTTTGGTAATATTCGGCTTTGAAAAGGCACACATAGAGTTACCTCCCTTATGGAAATTGTGAGACCTGATAATCTTTATTAAGTGACCGCTCGATCATTGGATTCCCCTCGTAATTAGCTATTTAAGAGCTAATTATTGACTTCTGAGACAAACTTGTACACCTATAATAATGGAATATATATAGATGTAAATGAAAATAAGGGAACCGAACTTCAAGGAAAGATAAGTTTAGCTTTTGTAAATCACTAACGTTCAGACAAGTATTATATCCTGTCGTTTTGAAGATAGAAGAAGTGCTTCACGTTGCTTCTGCGATTGGTATAATGGATGTTGTCTGAAAATGTACACTCATTTAAAGTTATTTCCCCTTGATTGAAATCTAAGTTCCATATTATGCAAATTCGAAATGTGGCACTTTCTGCTGCCAATAGTACTTTGGTATCGGAAACGGGGACGTTTTATCTAAGCTAATCAGTAATAGTGATCACAGCCTTCAAATCCAAATGTTTTTAAGAGACTCTCCTTTTTGAAGAACAGTTAAGGACTGAATATAAAATTATTGCGCCGCGTATTTTCTGGATGGTGACGTACAACTTTCGGATACCCCAATTTTCAGGAATGGGATAAACGTGTGAACGAAATAAATAATAGTGAAATTCCTCGTTTGGTAATTATATGGTTTTCGTACATTTTTAGTACTTCTGAAGATTATTTACATAATATTTTTATTATATTTTAATAACTCGAAATAGAGTGATTTTTAAAAAATTATCCAAGATATTTCAAAACCACAGCAGAGACATTGTAGCATTTACAAACGAAAACCATATTTTTGAAATAAATTCAGAATGGCTTGCGTCAAAAGCTTAAACCTTATTCTGTGAAAGTAGTACCCTTAAATTTTTATTTGAAGATCATGGTCCTAAATCTGCGGGCAAGCGAACAGTCATATTGTGGACGATATTTTGTCACAGACTAAAGTCTTGTCAAGAGTTCGACCGACCGACTGGCTAAAACCACACGAGGAGACAACAAATCTTCAGTCGGCCGTTTTCCACTTTGTCGATAATCACGTGTGGATCATGCAATTGAAAGGAAAATCAATCTGATTGGATGATGATACTCTCTTGCAGACGATGCAACAATCGGCGACAAATATCAAACTGGTTTAATATTATATATCCTGTAGGCAATGCGGTACTCTTATCGGGCACACGTGAGATTTTACTCATAATTCGCATCGGCGACAAAAATAGGCGACAAAGACTGTTCGTGTGCCCGCAGCATAAAAGATTATCCTAAGGCTCCAAGACATACTGATATCGTGCTATTGTATCAATCACGTATTTCATTAAGTATTTGTCAATAATCATATCAATGAATGAAATCCTATAGAAAACCTAGTCGCGTTCATAAATTCAACCGAACAAATCGCACCCCATTTCAGAAGCGGACTGAACACCTCAAGGTCCTCGTACCATTGGGCTTCCTTAGTTCCCCGGGCCCTCAACCCTGATCGTTCTTGCCTTTACTCTACTTATATAAATAAAATCATTTTTTTAGGCTATTATATTTTTTGAAAAATGTTTCAATATTCATTTAGTTTAATGATTATATCGTCTTATATAAAGATTCTATTCTTTAGTGGCACCTGGTAAGTACAACGGATGAATATATGCTCTTGATGCTATTAACGTTTCTAGTGTGGCAAGTTTAATGCAACATTGTTCCATCATCTTTCACATTGTACGTTCAATAACTCAAGTCAATAGAAGCCGTTTCATTGGAGTTCTATCACTTGGCTATTACCCTTTGGCTTTTCACAAATTCTGATTTGATATCTGGAAAGACGGCCTTCTTAAAAGAGATGTAAATATGTTTTCTACAGGCGACACAAGCCTGTTACGTTTTGAAGATTTGAATTGAAAGCAAAACCTTTGGATAGATGAAAAGAAATCTGTGATTCTAATCTAATGGACTGTTAAACTTCAACTGTGAATAGCTTTTTTTAACTCTTAGACTTTTAGATAAAAAAAACATGAACAAATGTAACACATTAGGATTTTTTTCAAAGAAAATTAGATTTTAGTTTAAGAATAATAGCAAATCATATCCGCTGTAGACATAATTAACGAGTCTGGGGAACGTTATATAGTGGACTTTTTGTAGGGAAACGCATTTGGGCATTAGGTTATCAAAAAAGTAAAGTGAATGAATGGTCGTCGCTTTGTTTGGAGTTGAGAAAGTGGAATTTCTAGGAAACTAAGGGCCCGAGAAGGGAGGTGGTGGGGGGGTTGGGGCACAGGCCATTCTTTCACTATGTAATATAATACAAAATTTGAAAAACGGGGCCAAAGTCGGGTAACCTCTTTTCTTTCCCCCGCAGAAACGCCACTGCACGGCGAATGAGGGTGTGGACAGACGCAATCTAATTGAATTCAGATTACAATTACGTATCGTTTTTGTCTTCTACATTGTAATCTAACAAGTTTTCTACCAAAGCCATGTCCCAATGGTAGTATTTTAAACCAATCAAAGCGTGTCATGTAAAACCCGAATCGTTATACAATAAAGAATTGTGGGATAGCGCAACCAAAAAGACTGTCATATTGCTCTATTTTAGGATTCAATATCCCACAATTCATCATTTTATCAAGATTCCACTCTTGCAGCCTCAAAGGCATGTTTTCCGGCAAAAATATCATTACCTGGTTAGAAATTCGGGCAACCTCCAGATAGTTCGCCCCCCTCGGACGTAAACCTGGCTCCTCCGCTGTATTTGAGCAACATTAAAAACGTGTTTGAACATTTGGTTTAATATCCTTTAACAAATGGGCCGAATTTATTTTATTAGAAATCTTCAAGTATCGATTTTTCACAAGCTTTCGTTATCTTTTCAATGTTAATTTGAAATCAAGAAAACGTTTGAGATGTTTTGTTTTTACTATTAACCAATAAGTCACCGGTAGCCTGGAGGTTCAGCAATGGATTAATCATCCCGTGTGTCCCTTGGCAGTCATCCAGCTCGGAGAAACTGGCTTGATGAAGAAAACGTCTAATCGTTCAGATGGGACAGCTGTGCACGATAAAGATCCATCGACAATTTTACTATTAATTGTAGTGTACAAATGGCAAAAGAATGTTCATCCCGGGTTACCTTGTCAGTCATGTAACGTCTTACTAACTAAGGGCCTGACGTGAAATAAGGAATAATCGTTCGGAAGGAGCAATAAACCGAGGTTCCGTGCCCTAGAGGATGAGCGCGTTAAAGATCCTCGCCGGTACTAAAACGAAAACGAGTAGACTAACGCCGCTATCCTCCTGTTATTCAACTTACTGGAAGTTTTCAAGATTTCCAGTCTGTGGCTAATGCTTTTACTGGGGTTTGGGCCCACTAAGAGGTCGGGGCTTGTAGACTTGGTTCAACCAGTCCCTATGGCAGTCAGCCACTGTGTAATATATCATATTATCTTATGATTGATATATCTTCCGGGGCTATCAATTCCCAAGAGAAGATTTACGTATAATTTTCTTATCTTTCAATATAGAATTACTCTTGAATATATATTTTAGTATATAATGATTCTCCCCGTGGACATTTGAATAAAGGTAGGCCTATACATATAATGTTCATGTCACGTTGACCTAGCATATTTGCCATTCTGTAGCTTGGTTTGTCACAGAGCAATGCCTGCATGGATGGATGCATTTAAAGGGATTGTAAAATGGTTTTTATGTATATCAGGGACACTGATAGCATCGTTTTCAGCTATCCCATTTTTCAGTCGGACGTCTGTGGTTCTTTAAAATTGCCATGAAAGCGGCATAAGCCTACTCTTTTTAGGTTTTCAACTGTTGAGAGATCTTTAACGTGCTAAGCCTACTAGTTAAACCGGATTTAAAGCTGGTAATGCTCCTCCTTTCCTATTCGTCCAAATTTAAAATCAGTTCACATTCAAATATAAAAATTCACCAATCAGATAATTCCATTCATTTGCTCAAAGTCGGTACTCAAAGGTCGTCCCATTTTTCAAAAAAAGTCATTATCCTATTGGTTTTTGCTCTTTAGCCAATGACTTTAATTCGTTCTGACACTGATTGGAGTTGATTAGTCGGATCGATCGAACCGTACATTCCCAACACGGTAGCCGTGGTGTGTTTGCAATGTAGCGGCGAAAGTTAACAATTGTAAATTCTATGCCAAAGTCTTCAAAATATTGAATGAAGGCTTGGGTACTTTTATAAACATTTGATAATATCACTATTGCAATTGCCCTCAGAAACCATTATAAGCAGCATTTTGCGATAGTACCGTCTTTAATTGCTTAGTTATCGTGGAATTACAAGAAATAGAATGGTAAATCTTGATGCTATCAATGCCTTCGATTCACATTAAATTTCACAAAACCTCTTTACAATTCCTTCAATTTCAGTGTCAAATGCAGTTACCTACTTTCTGTGCCAGTCCCCAAGTGACACAAGCGAAGTTAAGTAGAAATTACTTAACTCAAGTTCTTTATCAGCTAGTTTTTTACTTAATAATTCCAAGAGTCACATAATGCTATGTATAATAAAGTAAAAACTGCCATTAAAAGATTAATAGTAGCATATGAGGTCAGACAGCACACTGTTGGAGAAAATTTGATTATTTTCAGATGATTACTGAAAACTTTGCCATTATTTACAGATTATAAAGCACTGGTTACCTCATCTTCATTACACCAAGCTATTACGAACTCCGTCTTATACCTTGCCATCATTTAGCACCTAAATGAAGTTTCTTTTGTAAATTAAAACACGAGTTCACAAAGTAGACAAGAACTGGTAGTTACACGCGCAGAAGCGTACATTCAAATCAAATCGCTGCGTTTGCAAACTAGGGTCAAAAGACAAATGCCTTATGATGTCAAGGTATAAGACGGAGTTCGTAATACCTTAACATTGTGAAGATGTGTTTACCCAGGTACAATCTATAATCCAATCAAATCACCAGCTTCAATGATACACGAAAAGTGTCTCATGATGTCACGGTATAAGAGGGAGATCGTGATACCTGGACATTGTGAAGATGCGGTAACCAAAGTATAATTTCCATCGAAAACGTCTTATTGTCTGTATTTGCCAATTATCCAAATGTGTTACGTACTCCGTATTATACCTTGACATTGTGAAGATGTGGTCACCCATGTTAAGTGTCCATCACGTCGAGACTGCTTCGTCAAAGTTGTCTTGGAAATGACGGGAAATGAATTTATTATATAAATATTCTCTGTCTTCAGTCAGTGTCTCATGAATTTTAATAATTCCATTAGAAATAATAGATGAATTGAGACTTTATTTATTAATGTCAAAGCAGTTAGTTGTCGTACTTTTTTTAGAGTATATTATTCCTTGGACATGTAAGTTCGACACTTTATGTTCCCTTATTTTTGAGTGTCCCATCCCGATATGGGCCTAGACGATTCTGTTAAAGATCGGCTCAATATCTATGTTTCTATTGTGGTCTATGTCTCCATTGTGGTCTATGTCTCTATTATGGTGTATGTCTCTATTGTGGTGTATGTCTCTATTGTGGTCTATGTCTCTATTGTGGTGCATGTCTCCATTGTGGTCTATGTCTCAATTGTGTTCTATGTCTCTATTATGGTGTATGTCTCTATTGTGGTCTATGTCTCTATTGTGGTGCATGTCTCCATTGTGGTCTATGTCTCAATTGTGGTCTATGTCTCTATTAGCGTTTATGTTTCTATTGTTGGCTATGTCTCCATTGTGGTGCATGTCTCTATTGTGGTGCATGTCTCCATTGTGGTGTATGTTTCTATTGTGGTGTATGTTTCTGTCGTGGTGTATGTCTGAATTGTGGTGTATGTCTCCTTTGTCGCCTCTCTTGTGGTCTATGTCTCTATTGTGGTCTGTGTCTCTATTGTGGTCTGTGTCTCTATTGTGGTCTGTGTCTCTATTGTGGTCTGTGTCTCTATTGTGGTTTATGTCTCTATTGTTGGCTATGTCTCTATTGTGGTGTATGTCTCTATTGTGGTCTATGTCTCTATTGTGGTCCATGTCTCTATTGTGGTGCATGTCTCCATTGTGGTTTATGTCTCAATTGTGGTCTATGTCTCTATTAGCGTTTATGTTTCTATTGTTGGCTATGTTTCTATTGTGGTGCATGTTTCTATTGTGGTGCATGTCTCTATTGTGGTGCATGTTTCTATTGTGGTCTATGACTCTATTGTGGTTTATGTCTCTATTGTTGGCTATGTCTCTATTGTGGTGCATGTTCTATTGTGGTGCATGTTTCTATTGTGGTGCATGTTTCTATTGTGGTGCATGTTTCTATTGTGGTGCATGTCTCCATTGTGGTGTATGTTTCTATTGTGGTGTATGTTTCTATCGTGGTGTATGTCTGAATTGTGGTGTATGTCTCCTTTGTCGCCTCTCTTGTGGTCTATGTCTCTATTGTGGTCTGTGTCTCTATTGTGGTTTATTTCTCCATTGTGGTCTATATCTCAATTGTGGTCTATGTCTCTATTATGGTGTATGTTTCTATTGTGGTCTATGTCTCTATTGTCGTTTATGTCTCTATTGGTCTCTTTTGTGATCTATGTCTCTATTGTCGTTTATGTCTCTATTGTTGGCTATGTCTCTTTTGTGGTCTATGTCTCTATTGTGGTTTATGTCTCTATTGTTGGCTATGTCTCTTTTGTGGTCTTTGTCTCTATTGTGGTTTATGTCTCTATTGTGGTTTATGTCTCTATTGTTGGCTATGTCTCTTTTGTGGTCTATGTCTCTATTGTCGTTTATGTCTCTATTGTTGGCTATGTCTCTTTTGTGGTCTTTGTCTCTATTGTCGTTTATGTCTCTATTGTTGGCTATGTCTCTTTTGTGGTCTATGTCTCTATTGTGGTTTATGTCTCTATTGTTGGCTATGTCTCTTTTGTGGTCTTTGTCTCTATGGTGGTTTATGTCTCTATTAATGTCTATGTCCCTTTTGGGGGGAAAGTTAAAAAAAACACAATCTATTCACATGCCAGCTGTTATATATATGAAATACACAATATTATATGTATCTTGTACACCAGCAGATAATAGTTAGGTTCACTCTAAATAGAAAACGTTTTTTGATGTGCAAGGATACAAAAAAAATTCACTATTCAAAACTTTAGGTTTGTATGTTAAAAAGCTAATTTTGTTAACAGGGGATAGTTTCTGGCGTTAAATATTCTAGTTTGCACACATTACGAACGTTTTGATGATTTTGTCACGCTCTCTACTGTACTGCCCTGCTTCGAGGTCCATTTGACACACCTTGATAAATCTTGTTCAAACTACAAATCATATTTTTGCCAGCTGAACTTTTGCTACCTGAGCGCATGGATTTTGCCTTGCGTTCAGGTTGCAATAAGTGTTTTTGTAAGTTTTTTTCTACTGCTTGAGTTGTAGTGCACTAATAAGGACGATCTCTGCTCGGTTCAACGTCTTGCGTTGGAACTAACTCTCTTTGTCGAACACCGAGATGCATATCTTTTCTACTTGTGATACTGTCTTGTAACTTCTTTAAACACGGTGAACTGAATTAGTGGGTAACTTGAATTTTCGGAAAATTGCTTTCAAATTCATAAACATGGTGAGCTGTATCAGTGAAAACACTGCGTTATCGTCCAAATCTCGAATGTGTCGTATTAGTGAGTAACTCGAATTTTATGTTCACTTGATGACCTGTATCAGTGAGTAACTCGAATTTTCTGTTAACTTGTTGAGCTGTATCAGTGAGTAACTCAAATTTTCTGTCCAATTGATGAGCTGTATCAGTGAGTAACTCGAATTTTCTGTTCACTTGATGACCTGTATCAGTGAGTTACTCGAATTTTCTGTTCACATGATGACCTGTATCAGTGAGTTACTCGAATTTTCTGTTCTCATGATGACCTGTATCAGAGAGTTACTCGAATTTACTTGGTGAACTGTATCAGTGAGTAACTCAAATTTTCCGTCCAACACGAACACTGAAAGTAGCTTTACCTTCCATAAACTTCGTGTGCCGTATCAAAAAATGTCACTCAATAATTTTTAACAGGATTTGAATATGGTCTTAAGTTCCACTCTAAAATTGTTGTTTAAAAAAGCATATATAAAGGGATTTGCCACGTTGTATATAAAATACATATAAAACACCACCAAGTTCAAGGTTACCAGTTTGTGAGCCATTAACCAGGCGGGTAAAAAGGCAATAATAAAAACAAGAGTCACTATAAACAACATAAAAGCCGTTTTAATATTCGCCATACGCATTTTCTCCAAGCGCGTTCTGGACATATTGGAATTGATTCCATTAGCTGTGTTGTTTTCCACGTGTGTGCTCTCACATTTATTTTTCAATTTATCACCGTTAGTTTGACTGAGTTCCAAAGCCACCGTGGCCTCAGATTGCTCACACTCGATACTAGAGTTCTCTGTGTTTGTCACAGGCCAACAGCAGTTATTGGATTTGATTTGTAATCGTTTTTCCCGTTGTGAGATAACGAAGCGATAAATTAGACTGTACAGCGCTAAAACAATGAGACAACAGACTAAAAATAGAGCCGAATAAATCTTCTGATATACCATAAAGAACACGGAGTTAATAACATGCTCGTTGGTTCGACATTGTCCCTTATCTATGAATGCTTTAATGGTTTTCACTGGCGTAGGCGTCGTTGATACGTTCACGGACAACGTTAACGTACTAGCAGCAGCTGATGAATTCTGGCGATGCGTGTAACCAGTCGGATACGACGAGTAATGTACCACACTACTACTATCACTAAAATCCTCTACGGTTACGTCTGGATCCAGAAACGGTTTCGAAGTGGTTAGGAGATCGTCAACTTCCAAATCCTGCAAGACCCATGTGGTATAATGTATACAAGCAATGATGCCCAAAGATAGAGACAGAACACTCAGAGAAGCTACGATAATTTTCGCCCGTCGGATGGTCATCACGTGTAAAAACGGATGACAAATGCATAAATATCGATCGAATGCTATAGCAACCATGACAAATGCCGAAAACGGAATCGTTGTCGTAATGAGGAAATGATATATTTTACAAACGGCATCGTCCACGACAAACTCAACGGATTCTAAGGTAATCGTAAACGGTATGGTCACAAGACAGGTAATGAAGTCCGTTCCAGCGAGAGTCAGTATAAAGATAGTTGACGTAAGCTTCTGCTTCAGATTGTAAAAGACGTAAAAAGCAAGAGCATTTCCTATGGTTCCGAAAACGGCGAAAATGGATAGGATTCCGATTACGGCATGCAACTGTGCTGCGTCTATCGGTCCGTCTTCCGGTACGGTATCATTAACTGTGGCCATTGCTGGGATATATCATACCTGAAAGCATAAAAATAGAATATTTACATAAGTTATAATCAAACTGGTACTTCTTGGGTACGTCTTCTGTATGTGCTTTCAGTACAAAAACCAGCAGATCGCATTCCTCGTTCTTTTATATCTCATTGCAACGAATATGGAAGGCAGCAAAGGTAAAGAATTCCCCGACAGGTGGAATCGAAAAATAGCAGGTTACTGTCTCCCGTCTTCAGCGCCTTCAGGTCCAGAAGAGTAGGACGTAAAACTCCAGTTCATTTGATTCCCGTGACTAATTAAATAAGTATCAATCATATCAACATTATTGAAAAATTTATTACTACTCTTCATTAATAAATGATAATGATGATGATTAGATTAATGTAATGATAGAGACAATGACGATAAACAATAACAGTCGACTCATTATACACAATTTACTGTAGACAGTGACCGAACTCGAGAGCCCGCGGACTTAAGTGGGTTTGGGACCCCATCACAGCGGCGTTTCTAAGAGGGGAAGGTAGGAGACTGGCTTTGACACGTTCACTACTTTTACCATATCATAGAAAGATCATCGAATTTTACTCCATAAACAACAAGAAAATGGCAAATTCAAATGAATTCGGACATTTTGTTCTTCCCACAGTAAGCCTATGGGACTAAGTGGACGAGTCGCTTTAAATCAAATTCTATGTGATTTATACATGAAAATAATTAAATGATTAATTAGCTATTTGTTTTGGTCCTGACTAACGAGAGCTTGTTTGATGTTCTTTTGATGTCAATTGACTTAAGGTCGGAATGTGATAATCAATCTTACTTTTGCTTTCGTCTAGTCCGATACTAGCTGACTCTCATAGCTATTTCACTAGTTAGAAGTTGGTTATATTGTCAGTACCTTTCGGAGCGACTTCCGTCAATAATAACTATCAGACGCCAGATATAGAGTCAGCAAGTTATAGACCTGCCTTTGTCAATAATAACTATCAGACGCCAGATATAGAGTCAGCAAGTTACAGACCTGCCTTTGTCAATAATAACTATCAGACGCCAGATATAGAGTCAGCAAGTTACAGACCTGCCTTTGTCAATAATAACTATCAGAGGTCAGATATAGAGTCAGCAAGTTACAGACCTGCCTTTGTCAATAATAACTATCAGACGCCAGATATAGAGTCAGCAAGTTACAGACCTGCCTTTGTCAATAATAACTATCAGAGGTCAGATATAGAGTCAGCAAGTTACAGACCTGCCTTTGTCAATAATAACTATCAGACGCCAGATATAGAGTCAGCAAGTTACAGACCTTCCTTTGTCAATAATAACTATCAAAGGTCAGATATAGAGTCAGCAAGTTATAGACCCGCCTCCGTCAATAATAACTATCAGAGGTCAGATATAGAGTCAGCAAGTTACAGACCTGCCTTTGTCAATAATAACTATCAGGTCAGATATAGAGTCAGCAAGTTTCATCAATAATAACTATCAGAGGTCAGATATAGAGTCAGCAAGTTTCATCAATAATAACTTTCAGAGGTCAGATATAGAGTCAGCAAGTTTCATCAATAACAAATATCAGAGATCAGATATAGAGTCAGCAAGTTTCATCAATAATAACTATCAGAGGTCAGATATAGAGTCAGCAAGTTTCAACCATAATAACTATCAGAGGTCAGATATAGAGTCAGCAAGTTTCGTCAATAACAACTATCAGAGATCAGATATAGAGTCAGCAAGTTTCATCAATAATAACTATCAGAAGTCAGATATAGAGTCAGCAAGTTTCGTCAATAACAACTATCAGAGGTCAGATATAGAGTCAGCAAGTTTCATCAATAATAACTATCAGAGGTCAGATATAGAGTCAGCAAGTTTCGTCAATAACAACTATCAGAGATCAGATATAGAGTCAGCAAGTTTCATCAATAATAACTATCAGAGGTCAGATATAGAGTCAGCAAGTTTCATCAATAATAACTATCAGAGATCAGATATAGAGTCAGCAAGTTTCATCAATAATAACTATCAGAAGTCAGATATAGAGTCAGCAAGTTTCGTCAATAAAAACTATCAGAGGTCAGATATAGAGTCAGCAAGTTTCATCAATAATAACTATCAGAGGTCAGATATAGAGTCAGCAAGTTTCGTCAATAACAACTATCAGAGATCAGATATAGAGTCAGTAAGTAAAATATAGCATTTTATCAGAAATACATAGAAAAATGTTTCGGACTTTTCTTTGGTTTACTTTTATAAAGCTTGATTGAGTTGGAGCTTCATTTCAGTCAAATTGACCAACGGCAAAGCAAATACGAAATCATCTCAATCATCGATGTTTGCAATTGTAACATCTCTTTGAGGTATTATTGAACGTGAGTGATTACGGTATTATGTTGCGTGTTTTAAATTCTTGTTCAATATGTTTTAACGTCTTTCTTTTTGATTTTAGATGATGCGAAATAGAGTTTTACGTCCTAGTTTTTCCACTAAGGGTTGATCAGTATGGGAAAAGTCATGAAATTGTTGGATCACGCACGCTGAGTTTTATTTCTATTTGCAGCATTACAATTTTCGTCAGATGCCTGTGGTTCCTGAAATTTGAAAAATGCCTAACTGCATATGACTATCGCAACAGCTAATATCTAAGAGCTGGCCTTTTAGCGGAATTGCAAGACCTGCAAGCATCTGACTAAAAATTGGAATAATGCAAATCGAAGCTACTAGTGTCCATGATACAAAAAAAAATCAGAAAATCCTCTTACAATGCTCTTTACAAATATTGCCAACAATTGAAATTTTTTTGGTTTCTTTCTCATTACAATAAGAATACCAAAAGGCATATCCTCTTTCGTCTATACACGATATTGCTATGCGATTCATTCGGTTTTTCTTAACAAGTCTAAAAGAAGACCAAGTTTCTTACGCAACATAAAGGTATACTACGAATTAAAATATTTTAAACTTGGTTAAAATCAATCTTTGTTCATCAGTGGACTTATCTGGTGTCAAAATTATACAACAATAAATAAATCCATAAAACTAAGTAATAATTCATTAAAATTAGCTTAGAAGCGCCTTTCTATAATTAATTAGTTTAATAGATATATTATGGTCTTATAGAGATTATGCATTAGCCCTGGCACCCGGAAAGTCCAACTAAAGAATATATACTCTTGTACACCAAGTTTGAAACTTTAAATTTTATGTCCATTCTAAGTGGTAGTATTCCTTTGAAATTCTTTTCTTTTAATGGAAAACAATTTGTTTTTTTTTTTGATATTTGAATTTAAGATTTCCATTGAAAAAGTTCATAGAAGTCACAATATTAATCTGCCACGCGTGTAGTTTTTTTTTTACTGAACGAGTCGTGTCGATTAACCAGCCTCACGATCAGTTCTTCTCGCTTATTGGAATCAGTTTTCATAAACATTTTGTCTTCAGTAAACAATCAAAATGAAAACGAAACGTTATGTAAAAAACGAAAGAACGCATATAGGTAATAATATAGGTTGGGCATAGGCATATTCCGTTATGAAACGCAATTCCGGCGGTATTCTTTCAATATTGCATAATTATAAATTACAGGATCTCTTCAATTTAAGCGGAATCCAAGATATTGATCACATCAGCTTCGTTCATCGTCAATTTCCAAGTGTAAGGAAGGCAAATAAATGATTTACTATATCGTTTCGAGCGGATAAAGGGTGGAAATGCATTGTGAAACGACGATGACTACATTTTTGAGGGAAGATCTGACGCGATCGCACCAGTCCTCCGAGGTTCGGGTACTGAAAACGTGATCAGCTACTGTTTTTAAAAGTTTAAACAGCCGTGTTACCACGCACTGTTGATTACCATTTTTTGTACTATTGATGATACTATTAACGTTTTCTACAGTCCTTTTTGAATACCGAATTTCTCCCTACGATCCTCAAAAAACGAAATTTTGATAATACATTTAATTTTACAAAATTTGTAATGCTGGCGTTATGTTTATCACCGACTATTCTTTCAGGTTTTTTTTTAATAAAACTGAATTGAATCCAAATGAAAAAGTGCGGATTTGAGATAAAGTAAGTTGAAGATTTCAATTTCAAGCCATTACTCGCGGTAAGATTTGTCACTCAAAATGTAGATTAAGGTCTTTTAATTTGAAGGAAATGTGACGTACGAACTTTTCAAATATCAGATGAAAATTTTTTATCTGTTCAGTTTATCTAATAATTCAGAGAACACACAAAGAACGAGCGAATGTTTGGTGCCAGTGGGCTTTTGAAATGTTTCATTTGCAAACAAACAAATCTAAGGTTCTTTGTATCTGTGGTAGCTTTGTAAAGACGGTCTTCTATTTTCATGTCAATGGTTAAAGGGACAGATTCGCCATATTCGAGAGTTAGTCTTCAGAAGTACTAGAAATGAACGAAAATTGTATTATTCCTTCAAAAATATCTAGGAATAAATAATAAAACTAGGATTTTCACTTTCTGATTCTACTTAAAGTCTTTTCTATATCTGACAGAGTCTTTAAGAAATGACGAGTCGTCAATTTAAATTTCCAACGCGGATAATACTGAAAACATGGGTATTTGATGGCTCAAATTTCAACGGTGACCTATGAACACGATTATTGATTAAATTAGCTAAATAAAATCCCATTTCTAAGACGATTGGTCAAACGGATGGCAAATCTGTACCTCTAAAGGCAGACATCTCTTAAAATGAAAGTAGCTTTAATGTCATTCGACATAGTCTACATATAAGACCTCCACCCCCGCCGCTTCATTGACAGTTATAAATGCTAATGCAGATATCCTTGGAGAATTTCTTTATTTAGAAACTGCATGGTGTTGTCCATCTTCATTGGAAATGAAATGAAAATGAATTTTACGTCATAGTCTATTAGCTGATGACAGAGCAAGAAAGTATGACGATAACAATTGAATTTCATTGTCATGGTAGGTTTGTGAAATGTCGAGTTTCTTGCTCAAACAAACTTATTGTCC